CAAAGATCTGAAAATAGAAGCTGAGAATTCTGCTCTAGTTAATGGTGAGGTTATGGAAGGGAGTTGTTTGCTGTGTTTTGTGTTGGCAGGCACTGATTGCTAGAATTTCCCAAATGTGATTGTTTTGTTCAAAAAGAGGAAATATATAGAAGTTGTGGCACAGAAAATGGTTTATTGGCCATTTATGCAAAAAAACCGAACAAACACAACCTTTCATGGATCACACCATTTGGGCTATAATTTGAGAAGTTGCTGAAAGTAACTAACATCTAATGGGAATTGCAACAATGGCAAATCTGAAATCTACCACTGGCATACAGGCATCCGTATTTTGGCATGAACCTGGTATTTTAAAGTCAGCATGTTATTCTGCCTGCTCTATGGACAACAGTTGTTAGGGGAACATAAAGCACTCTGAGGTCTAAAAATCATCAGAAATACTGAGAGATACAGAAATTGACTTTGGTAGTTAAAATTTCTTCTTTTTCCCCTCTTATTCCAATATATGTTGCTTTTGAATAGGATGTTCAAAAGGATCAAAAATCTTCAAAGAGACTGATATTAGAGAGGGGTATTATATATAAACCACATCAGGTATATTCCATAATATATACAGATATTCCTAATATATAAAACATTCACATGCAAGCTCACTGGGTGAAATCTATCTCCCACTGTGAAATCAATGAGCACGTTCTCAATATCACAGAGTGAGGGTCTTACACTCTTTATCTAGACACTGATGACAGAGAAATAAAGACAGGCAGAGAAAGAGGCTACGAAGTTTCTGGCAGATGTTGTATATGGACTGAATAAGTCATGGTACATCTACACTATGTAATGGTGTGAGTGGCCTTTCTGCAAGTGTAGATCAGCTGCATTATTTCTAGGGCTTAAGGCAGTCACCTCCATACAAAACTACCATGCTGCATGGATAAATCAATTACCTCTGAGAGAAATAGGGCAAAACAGACAATGTGCTAACAGGGGAGAGCTCACTGTCCTTTACATCCACAACTGTGCACCAAGGAAAACTAAAATGCACAGTAACACTCCTAAAAAGTTTGATGTGAAGGACACTCTTCTGAAAAAATGATATATGCATTTAGGAAGCTGACTGCATGAAATTGCTTTCTTGAAGTGTATGTCATTTTTCAAGGGGAATCCTGAGGCAACTGAGGATGGCAAGAATAACAATCTCCCAAGCAGTCCTTACAATGCTATACCTTGAAACTTCATGCTCATTTCAAAAGACACCTGAAATGTTGATGGTTAAAACCTACAGCAGACACCAGTTCATTTCTTGCATTTTCCAAGGAAGAAATAGCAAAACTTACATCATGATCTGAAAGCAATGCCACCTGAAAATGTATAAAGGTAAATAAACAACAGATGTACTGGACATTCAGTCCATTAACAAAACAAAACCAACCTTGATAGCAACAATGACTAATTCCCAGACCACATCACTAGAGTGACCCCAGTCTGCACTGTGCAAATAATTTACAAATCAAAGAAAGTGAACACTGCATAACACAACTGCTGATTCCAAGCAGTCTCATCAAGCCAAGTCAGCAGACTGCAAACATCAATGCATTCTAGGCATGACCATGGCAATGACTTCAAATGGAGCTATAACCTGATCCTCTAGCAGGGCCAAGGCTTCACTACCTTTGGCAATGCTTACTAAGAGATAAATTATGATCTCAATGGTCCACTGTGTAGAAAATGGAAAAATCCCCAAATGGTGCTACAGAGCTAAATCATTCTGAGAGCTAGGCAGGGAAAACATACATGTCAGGAATATGTTACCATTTTACCTGGGGGACTTCAGGTAGCCAATGACATAAACACTGCCTGAAGAAAAAGACCTGTTACTCCTGAGAATAGCAGTAATTCTATCACAACAGACACTCTGCAATGCAGAGGATAACAGCATTGGTAACAAGTTCAATTAGTAGTAGGGATATGTGTTTCCTGTGGAGTTTTTAATCAACATTTCCTGTGAGAATGGATAACACTACATGAGGAACTGCTCCTCTAAATTGCTTAGTTCCACAGACAGACAGTCAGGAAAAACACATACAGAGGCCCTGACTTTATTCTACAGAGGATACAAAAAGCCTTTCACAAACCAAGGGTCTGCAGTGATTCCTGAATAAGACATGGCCACTGTGCCATCTCAAAAGGAAGTCCTTTCTCTGCATGGATCATCCTTCAACACAGAATCATAGAACAGTTAGGGTTGGCAAGGACCTTAAGATCATCCAGTTCCAACCACTCTGCCATGGGCAGGGACACCTCACACTAAACCATCTCACCTATGGCTCTGTCCAACCTGGCCTTGAACACTGCCAGGGATGGAGCATTCACAGCTTCCCTGGGCAACCCATTCCAGTGCCTCACCACCCTCACAGGAAAGAATTTCCTTTTTATATCCTATCTAAACTTCCCCTGTTTAAGTTTTAACCCATTACCCCTTGTCCTATCACTACAGTCCCTAATGAAGAGTCCCTCCCCAGCATCCCTACAGGCCCCCTTCAGATACTGGAAGGCTGCTATGAGGTCTCCACGCAGCCTTCTCTTCTCCAGGCTGAACAGCCCCAACTTCCTCAGCCTGTCTCCATACAGGCGGTTCTCCAGCCCCTGATCATCCTTGTGGCCTCCTTTAGACTTGCTCCAATGGCTCCATGTCCTTTTTGTGTAAATCACTAATTCTGCTTGATCTTCTGCAGCTGTGAACACCTCAGAGATGCAAGTCACTGTTCAGCAAGAATTTAAGACTCTTTAAACTTGCTAAGCCCTCATGTACCTCAGCTGTAGCTAGAAACAGCTATTTGCCAAATATTATTTTTCAAAAATCTAAAATGAAATTACCACCTCCTACATTTGTTTTTTTCTGGAACATGCTGTGACAACCCATATTCTGAATCTGGCCTGGAATTTCAAAGGGTTGCAATACTGGTCAAGCCCTTTCTCTGGTTCCCAATTATAGCTGAGATTTCTCATCTTGACCAAACCTCAGAGCCCATACACTTCATATGCCGGTGTTTTGATAATGTGCACACAAACGTGCTTCAAAGTCAGCCAAAGTCCATGAAAGACTCTAGTTCACTTAAATTGTACCAAATAATTGCACTGATGCAGCCACTTCATGTAAACAGCTGCATACCACTGAAAATATCTTACAAGCACCTGTTGGGTGGAATTCTTCAATAAACTTACTCACAATGCTCAAAAACAAAAAAAAACCAAACAGCATTAGTCCAATCACGAGACCAGGTTTCTTAAGAATATATTAAGTAAGTCTCTGAACAGGTATAGGGATGTGTTTATCAATAGGATAGACAGGGTGTGTAAGGACACAGTGACACCAGTATTTAAAACAATGAGTTTCTTTACGGGTGAGGTGTCCAGCTGCTAAGCAGTAGATGCTGCTCTCATTGCTGTTTCTTATCTCTTACAAGGAGAAAAATGGTGGCAGGACCTGGTTTGCTCTTTGCCAGTTGGAATACAGTAAGCAGAAACCCCAGTCCCTGTAATCAATATGTGCATCTCTTAACTTGCTCTTTGGATGGATTCAATCTAGTGGCTGCCTATCACTAAAGGACAAAGTTTCCCCAAATAATTACAAGTTCATTTGCATTTGCCCCCTCATTTCCCTGGAATAGGCCAAAGGAAGTTTTCTTTTTTTAAGTGTAGCTCAGGAAAACAATGAATGCGAGTTCAAGGTAGCTCAATTAAAGCAATTCCTTCAGTAATAGAACCAAGGAAATGCTTCCTGTAGTGTGTGGCCTCAAAACTGGAAGAGAAGACTTCAATGCAAGTTTCAGCTACTAGGTGGATATTTATTTTCCTTTAGAATAAAACATTTTCATGTACATAAAGAAACAAAATTTATATATGGCACTACTGAGCCAAAGATCCAAAAGACTCAATAAGTATCTCTGAACAACATTTAACTGCACCAGTGCACACAGCATTTGTGAAAGCACCATGCATCAAACAGCACCAGAAGTCTACAGAGACATTCAAACATTAATCTTTCAAAGAGAAGCTGATTTTTGTACAGGCTTATAAACCAGTCAAGTTTAAATCAATTTCCCTTTGAGAGCAGAAAGTGAGACTTATTTGGGACTTACAAGCTGCATGCCACGACTTTATACAAAGATAAGTTTCATTCATTTAGATTGGAAGAAGCAACGTAATAAGAATAGAAGCTCAACACATCCCAGCAGTGTGTGCTGACAGTCCAGAAAGCCAACTGTGTCCTGGGCAGCAACAAAAGGAGCGTGAGCAGCATGTTGAGGGATGGGATTCTCTCCCTCTACCTTACTCTGGGGATACAAGCCCTGCAATCCTACATCCAGCTCTGGGGCAACAATATAAGAAGGACATGGAGCTGTTGGAGTGAGTCCAGAGGAGGCCACAGATGTGAGGGCTGGAGCAGCTCTGCTCTGGAGCCAGGCTGAGAGAGCTGGGCTGGTTCAGCCTGGAGAAGAGAAGGCTCCAGGGAGACCTTAGAGCAGCTCCAGTGCCTAAAGGGGCCAACAAGAAACCCGAAGAGGGGCTTTTGACAAGGGTCTGTAGGGACAGGACAAGGGGAATGTCTTTAACCCGCCAGATATTAGAAGGAAATTCTTTGCCATCCCTGGCAGTGTTCAAGGCCAGGTTGGACAGGGCTTGGAGCAACCTGGTCTAGTGGAAGGTGTCTGTGCCAGTGGTACAGGGCTGGAACTGGCTGAGCTTTAAGGTCACTTCCAACCCTATGATTCTACAAAAAATAAGCAAGTAGATATATCCATTCATTCAGGTATTTCATGTGCTCATTATTGTCCACACAACACTGAAAAATGACCATCATAAAACTACCTGCTAGGGATTTGTCTGTTTCTGATACCAGTGACTCAAACAAGTACATATTGCTTCTTCCTTAGTATTTTTGGATGCTGGTTCACAGACTGTTCTTTTATTTAATTCTCTTTTTGTTTTTGTGTCAGGGTGAGTGTTCCCAGAAGTGCTATTACATCTTCGTCATAGAGACCATCTGTGTGGCTTGGTTTTCCCTCGAGTTCTGCCTCCGATTCATTCAGGCAAGGAGCAAATGTCAGTTCTTCAAAGGACCCCTAAATATAATTGACTTCTTGGCTATTTCACCATATTACATTTCCCTCATCTTCTCAGAGGATGACTCAAATGAGGAGGACAATAGGCCAAGCAGCAATACATATTTGGAGAAGGTTAGTTTGGTGCTACGGGTTTTACGAGCCCTGAGGATCTTATATGTAATGCACCTTGCCCGACACTCCTTGGGCTTGCAGACTTTGGGCCTCACAGTTCGGAGGTGCACACGGGAATTTGGCTTACTTTTACTCTTCTTATGTGTTGCTGTCACTCTGTTTTCTCCCTTGGTCTATCTCGCTGAGAATGAATCTGGGAAGGTGCTCGAATTTACGAGCATACCTGCTTCTTACTGGTGGGCCATCATTTCAATGACCACTGTGGGGTATGGGGATATGGTACCACGAAGTGTCCCAGGCCAGATGGTGGCTCTCAGCAGCATCCTCAGTGGAATTCTCATCATGTCTTTTCCTGCGACATCAATATTCCACACTTTCTCCCATTCCTACTCAGAGTTGAGAAAGGAACATGAACGAATGCAGTCTCGGCTAAACAGAGTAAAAAACGCCAATCACTCTGGTGAAAGTGACACCTTCAATGAGACAGATAGCTTAATCCTAGAGGATCCGGCATCACCAATTAAATACATTTACAAAGGGAACTAAGCCTGATTGTAAAGCATTCCCAAGAATAAGAGCAGAAATGTACACATCTGTATGTCAATATAATACAATAGCAAAGCAACACCACCAGTTACAACACTACTTTCTGCCAGCATACGTATAAGAAGTACTCAAGCCAACACATCTAGCTCCAACGCATCATTATGGAGCTGGAGGTTTTGAGAATGTCAAAAGTCAGAGTCTATTCAATAATAAGTATTCATTCTTCTCTATAACTAATAATAAACTCTGCCAGTCATGTATCTTGGTGAATACGTAATATTGAATGAGTAACAAACAAAACAGCTTCTGTCGGCACAAATACACTTACTGTTTTATTTGCCTTTGAGCTTCTAATGTTCATGCAATTAACATATTGAGCCAAGCACTAGAAAGCATTCTTTCAGGGCTACGCACCAGTGGTGTTTGTACAATGCTCATTCACCAAGCATACAGAAGAAGCCTCAATACAAAAATGAATTCTGTACCTAAAGCCACTAACAAGCTTAAAGTAAAAGCACTGTATGTGGAAGCTTTCAAAGTTTGCCTGTAGCCAGACTATCAACCTACTAGTAACAAATTGCACTGTTATTGTATGAAATACATAGTGTCTGCAAGAGAATTTGCTTGAAGTGCAGTTGCGGCGTTCAAACTGTGAATGTTTCATACTAGAAAGCAAAAGTTTCCAAACTTTTTTTCACATACTAATTTAAAATAATAATAAGGAATAAAAATAACAAGGAATAAAAAAAAAAAAAAAGCTTATTGACCATATTGAAAAGAGTTGGTGTTATCTTTTTTACTGAATGGTGAATGGCTTCTCTGGAAGAAAGATGAGAGAATGAGATGATAGCTCAGAAGCATTAAAAGGGAAAAGAATGAGGTGAATAGAGGCAGTGGGAGTATAAGTGAGAAATAGTTGCATTTTACATTCTACAGAGCACACTGTTTAAAACCAAATTAAGGAAACAGGGAAGGGGATCATTTGCCCCATAATTTGATCCTTCAGCTCACATAGTGCCCTTGTAGTCTGCTGTTTTTTCTTCCAACCTTCTCAGCTACTTTTCCCACTTCCCTTTACAATTGTGTTCAGATTCATTCAAGGATTTAGTCTTCTCAGTCGGATATCCTATAGTGAACAGAAAGTGGAAGTAAAATCTCAGATATGTAATAAAGCATATCCCAAAGAAAACTGGAGAGAGTGGGTGTGCAATGTGCCTTTACCATCTGCACTACTCTTGCATGCTACAGTGCCATTTGGAGCACAGGGGTACTTCCCAATGTTGTGACCCGTCTCCCACGTGGATGTACAAACACAGCCACTTGCAGAGTTACGCAATTTCATGGAGGCGTTTGGGAGTTTTGGGTTTTAGATACTACCCTCACTGCACTGCGTAGCTTAAGAACAGAAAAGCACAGTTGTTGGCACAATTTGGAGCACGTGACTCAAATTAATCTCTTGGATTTATCTTGCTATTGACCCTATGATTTAAGCCACAGAAACTGTAGTGGATTATAGACGGGATGTTCCAACACAACTGAAACAAGTCGACACTAGATGACAGGCATTCATATTTGCCACACAAAGGGTTTCTGCTGGTTTATGCATAGGTCCAGCTGTATTTTATGATTTTATTTTTTCTTTTCCTCAATTAGCATTTATGTTTTGCCAACAACTCTCTACAGCAGGACTACTTTGGTGGGACTACTTAGCAAGATTACTTAGGTGGTAAAATAGACAAGATTCCAACCCCAGTCTGGACCATGACCCAGACCACTCCAGGATCCTTTGCATAGTGCTGCTACTTGCATTTCTCTGGGAGAGTCTGTATTTCTTCACAGTTATATCAGGTCCTTAGGAAAAACAATTTCACACTACCACAACAGTCAGCACAGCCCACTGCTGCCCTTCTGGTCTGGCAGAGCCAAAGTCAGTGCTGTCTGTGCCTGTTAGAACAGGTATCCTGATGTAGAACAGCCCCTGGTGTAGAACAGATATCTTTTAAAAGCTATTTGTCCCAGCTGACACACACTTTGGAAATACAATCAGGTAGTGCAACTGATCTGCTTTTTCAGAATAACAGTTTTCTTACTAGTGTGGGAGCTAGTTCAACATGGTCCCACAGAAAATTAGCCCAGCTACTGTTCTAAACATGCAGATGGCTGGAAAAATACTGGGGCTTTTGCTGCCCAAGTACTTAGACCACTTTAATATCCAACAGGTTCTGTGATGTAGGTGGGACTGTGGATATAACATGCATCCGAATTTACAGCAACCCAAACTTTGACTCACCATTTAAGCCTGTGTAAGTTCTTCCATGGAGTAAGTTCTTTACATGGAGGTAAAACAAACAAATCACCACTGTTTAACAATGAAGTGAGTGCTTGTACTTTCAACATATTTCTGTTTTCAACTCAGTCTCCTCCTATAGCTGGGTCTGAGCTGCACGAGCTCTCATAGAAAATGTCCTTCATGATTCATTGTGTTACTAGGGAGGGAAAAATATGTTGAGAGGAACATTTAGTGCTGTATAATTCAACTGAGAAACAAATTCAGAACAAGCAGTTACAATTAGCAGATATTGTTATTGCCAAGATCTTAACATTTCATAACCAGACATAATTAAAAGAGCAGTGTAGGTGCCTGGCATCCCGCTTCATTTAGTTCAAAGCCTTTTCCCTGAATCTAAATTCTAGAAGCAGCAGAGGAACAGCACTCATTATCCAAGGGGAACCCATGTTGTTCAGCCCTCATCAATGCATTGCATCTCTTTTTAAGCTTCTAATTGCTACTCTGATGCAGCAACAACTCCTACGGTATAGTGAAGGGACGCGCAAAACCCCTCATCATGCGGCTTTATTTGGGGAAGTTGATAGATACTCTGCTCTGACACCAGAGTGTGGCAGAGTCACATGAAAACACAACACAGGACCCTTCCAATTACTGGTCTGACTTGGAACCAAAACACAGCGAATGGGTTTTGATCAAGGACTAAATGCAAATTTCCTATGATGTTGGAATTGCACTGACGGGCTAAGACCTTTGCTTTGACCTAACTCACTTCTATAGGGATTCTGCAGATTGTTTCATATTCTCACTGCAGCCCTTGTACCTCCCGGCTGTTCTCCAGCTGTTTCTCCTCTTTGACTTTCCCCAGTTTCTCTGGTAGGGAAGAATTACATAAGATGGATATATTATTATTTCAGTAATGAACTCTCATTAATTTTGCAGGTTCGGTATTTTATTATTTCCACTTACCATTAGATCACCTAAAATTTGCTTGTCATCCCACTTTTTTATAAATAGTAGTGACTGGATGCAGACTCCAGACTGCCAGAGTTGCCAGGTTTATTCTTTAAGCCATATAAGCTCACTGGAGGCAATAGTACACTATTCTAGGGTGCAAAAAAAACTGCAAAAAAATTCACTAAGTGGACTACATATCCTCTGCATAAATTACAGTAGAAGTATTTAAAACTTGCATTGGTCTATATTTTTATTTCAAACATACCCAAACAGCATTCTGCAGTTATCTTGAACAATTAAGCACATGTACTGACAGAAATTACCCTCTGATTTTACTTATAATGAAAGATATTTTCCCCCATTCTTTTTGTTCAGAAAATTATTTTAATACATTGCAGTAATCTATAAATAATGATTCAAATCTTGAAGGTCAAGGAACTGAAAAGTATAGCACATTCCCTGTAGGAGATGTGCTCCCGGAAGGAGCATTAGAAAGTTTTTACTTCAACAAGTAATAAATTATTAGCCACATGTTAAACTGATAAAAGGCTGATATAATACTCATGTTTCCTAAATGGAATCTGGTTTCTGCATGGTAAAATCTAGATATTGAAACACATTTTACTGAAAGTATTGAATTTCTTCTGAACTACTCTGCTTCTGTAGCAACAGCTTATCTGAGCTAAAGGAGGCTCTGACCAGTTCCCTGAGTCCTAGCCATGGCACAATACCTGGCAAAGCCCTAAGAAAGAGAACAAGGTTGTGAATACATGATGTACTCAATATGCCCACTGGGTTCTCTGCTGGCCTCTGGCACAGGACATTAAACTGTATTTTCCAAGCAGGCACAGCGCAGAGACGGAGCTGAATGCTCTTCTTTCCCAGCATGCAGCTCCATCAAGGTCTACAGAATTCCCCAGCTACTTTGGGCAAACCAATTGTTGCATACAGGCTGAAGATCTTGTTGAGAAGCTTCAGTTCTTGGCGTCAATATTAGGATGCAAGCTCATACTCTAGGTTACTTTATGTATTTTTTTTCTGGATTACTAAAATTGTACTCATGGGGAAAAGATGACGAAGGGAAACAACTAAGCCATTTTCCTTCCCCATGTGTTCCTATCTTTACCATTGTACTTCCAACAGAAGCTAGTTCTCAAGAAAACTTATTTTCTCCAAAGTTTAGTGTTTCTGTAGTTTCCTTATGCCAGTGTCTGAGCTCCATGAAAGGCTCACACAGAAGAGAAAAAAGCCCAACCCAAAGCTACTTCACTTTGAGATCTGCATTCGGAATAGTACCAAAGCAGCTCATGTAAAGATCTGGGTATGGATTGTCAGCACCAAGAAGTGTTTGAGGAGCACTTTAGCAGAATATAACAGTAGATTCAGCAAGAGGGATAAAAATCCAACTCAGATTTCATTATTTCCATACTCAATTCCTGCCATATCTACACAGTTGTAAAAATCAAACACGTCTACAAGGGAAGGACTGTAGAAGACCCTTAGGGTATTTCACTTCTGAAAGTTATAGTCTGTTATATCATCAGCAATATGTGCCATAACTAAGTAATAAAACATAATCATCCTGAAACAAACACTTAGAATTTTAAGTCTCCATTGAAAAGGTCTACTGCTTCATGACTGACAATTGTGTTTAAATGAATACATTAGGACTTAAAGTATTAGTATAGAACTCCATGCATGCATATAATAAAGTCACAATATCTTATGAAATTTCCTGCTTGCTAGTTCTGGCATTCAGTCATTAGTCAGCTAGACACTAACTACAAGACAACATGTTTTATCTCAGCTACTTCAAAATAATTTCTTTTCATCAGCTCCCAGGGAACTGTGACTGTTCTCAGAATGGAGTTATACAGAATTTCTCTTCTGCTTAAACTTAAAGCAGATGATGAGGCACAATTTATATTGACCTTTCAGGGCAATGAAGCTCTCACAATGCCTCTGTGAGAATCCAATGATGTTTCACTTCATTTCAGACAAACAGCAGAATAATTTGCCCTTAACTCCACATTCAGATGCACAATGCTTCCCACATAGACAGGACGGAGACCAAGTACATCCTAGTTCCATCGCAGCTTTTGTTTCTGCCTGCCCACTTTGAACCCCACATCAGGATCTGTTGCTTTGCTACACAAAAATTCATCTCATTAAAGAGTTTTCTTACTGAAATTCATAACCTTAAAGGTACTGTATGACAAATACTGAAGATAATTGGACCGCACTCATGAATAGAGACTACTCATAAAACAAAGGGAGTGCTTTCATGTCCTTCCATCAACAGGTCTTCTACTGTCTTTTTAGTGTCTTACACGGTATTTTAAGAAAAACCCCATTAAAAATTTCTAATTAAAATTTCACTTGCAAGTCACTGTTTTTGAAATATCTTCACCAGAACAACAAAGCAGGTAACAAAAAACTTTATGCCCTGAGGTTCTACTTCTCAAAATTATATATATTTCATTGGTCTGACGTTTTACTTTTTGCCCAGCTAGCCTGAAGCTGTCCAAACTGCCTAGTTCCACACCAAATTAGTTAGAGCCTCTCTAACTCTGAGGGACTTAGCTGAGAATTTCACAAAAATCAGCTCAAAGACAAGACAACAAACTCCAGGAAATTTCAAAGCTTCAGAGAAAGGAAAGAGCTATGAGCTACTCATGATTAAAAGCATAAAATATTACACAGTTCAGCAAATAACTTGAATAAACTTGAATAGGCTCATACAGCACAATTACTATGTTTTTGCAGGATATTTTTAGGAAAAAGACGGTAAAACCATAAAGGTTTGCCTATCTGTAATTCTGAGTCTGATACATAGCTTCATGCCTTGAATGGTGCTTGCAGGAGTACAGTCATTTCCAGAGATGATAAAAATAATGCTATCAGCTCATTACGATGTAAGCATGCACACTTAAACAAACTAAACTACTTTCATACTGATACAAAGATACCTAAGGGAAACTGAAGGTCAAATAGATTTATGGCATAAGTGATTCAGAGATTGCAAAGTGTTCTACCAGAATTTAAAACTGCGTCTTGTCTACACAATTTTGCATTTCTGAGTAAAACTGTAACCAAGGGTCTGTCGGAGTTATTACACAAGCAGCACAAAAACACCCCCCAAAACCAACAAACAACAAAACCCACAGAAATGCATTTCAAGAGCAAGAATATTGTAAAGAAGACTACACAGAACAAAAGATAAATCGGTTTCAGATTATCTCCCCAGAGATCAAAATATGTCAGCAGCACGGGTTTGGAGGTCTTTAATCACTGTTTGTTGAAGTAACAGCAAATTAAGGGCCCATTTTTGCAGCTTGTTGTGAGTTGCTAAGTGCCTATGGCTTTTCGACAGTCTAGAGAGACTGAATCACCCAGTATACTGAAAACTCTAAGAAGTGCAACTAAATATTACGATAAGGTAGTTAAATTTTATACTTGACTATATTTTAATTTCACTGAAGTAACACAGATTCTGATTGGTATTAGAAAAGACCTCTATGTTTCACACTGCCTGCTTCTGTACCTCAGCTTCAGATACCAAAGGCAAAAGAAAACAAAAAGCAGCACAGATGTGTTGTAAATCAGTATCACTCTTCAAATCCATACACTTAATTCAATTTACCACAGTTAAGAATAAGGCTGTAAGCACTTCTAAATTGCTGCAATGCATTCACTGTCATTCTCTTCCTTCACCAAGTGATTCTGAAATGTAAAAAAGTCAATCAGAAAGCTGAAGACAAAGATCAACCTTCCTCTTATCACCAATGGTAACCAACACTTCAGGATCCCCAGGTTTGTTGGACTGTGATCTCTGTGACCTGCTGGCAAGAACTGCAAACCCAGACACAAACACAAGCCTTAGTATTTCCATGCTTGTCTATGCTTCTATCACTGTATGCTGTAGTTTTATGTATACACTGATCTTCCTAAAAACACTTGGGATGTTGCCATGACCATTCCAAGCACTCTCCAAACCAGCTACATCAAACACTCCCAAACACCCACATTTCCAAAAGGGAAGGAGCGTCATAAGACCCTTAGAGACATCCAGTGTGGCTGATTCTGGGTGGGAAACTGGAAGAGAAGGAATGTGGCTCTTGATTAATCCCATTTCCAGTAGGGCCACCAAAGGCTCTCTAATGCCAAGGAATATCCCAACCTGTAAAACATTATTAGGCAAATGTTGTGCTGTTGTGTGTGAACACACTCCAATTAAAACTACAATGAGGTGCTGAACCTGCTCCTTAAGGGCATGCTCACTTGAGAGAAGCTGACGTTGTCACAGCTCTTTACTCAACCCTGACTAAAAGGCAGCACTGAGGACTGACGATATTTATGCAACTCTCTCATTTTATTCAGAGAGCAAGATCAACCAGCCAAAAAGCCTTGGAGCACCCTGTACATAACAAGTCAGCAGTAGCACTCATTGCTCCTGCTTTCCTGCTGAATAATCAAGCTGGTATTAATTCGGGAAGTTTTTCTCTTCCAAGATGTGGTGGGTAAGTCAAGAGGCTTCAAAGCTGAGGACTCTGAAGAGAGTTTAACTCTGCTAAAATTTATGCATGGAAATTGTCCCAAGGAACTGTATTTGCATGACTGGGTCTCATGAGATAGCAGGGAAGCAGGTCTAGGGGAACAAGTACTAATGGAGCTTTTCCCTCAGCAAATCTGTGGGTTTCCCTGTGAGAAATTACTCCAATTACCACAGCTCACTGATTGCCACAGATACAGTTTCTGCTTTCTTTCTCTCCATTCATGCCTTTTGTGCTGCATGGGCCAATCCATCTTTTATTCACAGGCTCTGAGATGATCAGTAAATTCACTGTGCCATGGCAGATAGATTTCAAGCTAACATCTCCCCAGCTGTCACCTGCAGTTACATATGTGAGCAGTGAAGTGCCCCTCTAACACTGCATTGGCCTCCCTTCCCAACACGGTCCCTCAGTGTACTTCTACTGACTGAAGAAAATCATTGAAGCATCATCTTACCAGCCCCTCATGGCAGGCGGATGGAACTAGATGATCCTAAGGTTCTTTCCAACCCAAACCATTCTATGACCCTATATGCACCAAATGTCCAGATGAGTTTAACTGAATCTGCAGGAACACCACTTCGGTCTTGAGCCAGTATTAAGATATCAGTGTTCAGGATTTTATCCCACTCTTCCAGTCCATCAATAAAGTGAAGCACACATGGATGGATGATGTGCGAACTCCTCAGGGGCTGTGCTCCAGCTCTGTTCCAGACAGATCTGAGCCTAAGACTAGCTGCCAAACAGGACTTCCAAAGTCAAGCCACTGTGCGAGTCCCTTCTTATTTAACATCTCTGTTTTGTTACTGCCTTCTGAGAAACATTTTGTATTAACACAGTGCAGCTTTACGATACACTTCTAATGCTGATATCCAAATTATAACACTAAGCTGAAAAAAAAGAAAATGCTCCAGTGATTCAGCTCTATTGATTCTGGGATCTCTGTCTCGTCAACATATAACTACCAAATCAGGGTTTAATTAACCTGACACTGGTAGCTCATAGAGATGCTTCCAGCCTAAATCCCCCAGCAGACAATGAGCATTCTGCCTCAAAACCACAGACTGGTTTGGGTTGGAAGGGACCTTAAAGCTCACCCAGTTCCAACCCCTGCCACAGGCAGGGACACCTTCCACTAGAGCAGCTTGCTCCAAGCCCCTGTGTCCAACCTGGCCTTGAACACTGCCAGGGATGGGGCAGCCACAGCTTCTCTGGGCACCCTGTGCCAGTGCCTCGGCACCCTCACAGGGAAGAACTTCTGCCTTATATTTGACCTAAATCTACCTCCTTTCAGTTTAAAGCCCTCTTGTCCTACCATTACCTGTTGCTTTCCAAGCTAAAACATCAGCCCATTTATAATTATCAGTGATGATTCGCATCATACAATGCCAATTCAGCATGACCAAGTCTCCCACCTTGCCCCAAACTTTCTGAAAGTTAAGTCCCCACCTCAAAAGCACTTTGTAAAGGCCCTGCGCTGAATCCGGGTCTACCCTGGGTGCTCTTCCAAAGGTTCTGACGCACACCTTCAGTCCGACAGCCATCTAGTGGTACCTGCACTACTCTGCAAGGTAAACGAGCAGCTAATGCAGTGCTTAGATAGATGGGTCCTCGTCTTGCAGAGATGGAAGTTGTTCTGGGAGAATGTACTTACATCCTTTATTTATTTACCCCTATCCTATAAAAAAAAAAATTACTGTGTATTCCTGCACATTAAACACATCACCAGAATGCTGTTCGTGGCTTTTTATGGTTGCCACCTTCCATGCATCCTGCCCCCTGAGGTGAGATAACAGGGCTAACACTGCTGCTTCCTTCAGACCAATGGTGCTGCAGGACCCCCCTCCTTCCTGCAGCCAGGCTTCTCTTCCTCTCTAGAGGGAAACGAAGCATGGGGTATTCCTGCTGTCTTCCTGCACTGCTGCCCTATGGATGGTTGCTCCAGGACATATACAAGGTATACAAGTGATTCAGCCATGGATGGCAGACACTGAAGATGCTATTCTAGCCTTAGGCAACACAGTATGGCAGTGATTTTTACAACTGCCTTTAGCTGCTGCATACTCCTCCTCAGTGCACCTCTTATCCCTCCCCTGCTTTCAATCATGCATCTTGTACAACTCAATGACAATTGTCAGATTCCTTCTGCGGACTAAGCTCCTTGTTACACTAATTTCCAGCTGACTCAAAGGGACTTCTGTAACAAATACAACCTGAGCTTTTCTAGTTCCTTTCTCAGTTACCATCCTTTCATATTCTAAATGCTCAGATTTACCCTGCCTGTCCACAATCACGTAGAGGTCTTTGTAATGTTTTTGTCTTCATATATCCCTTCTCTAATCTCCTTTTACCTGAGCCTTGTTCCCACCAGAAGTAATGAAAGCAAAACCACATCTGTGAGATACTTTGCATGACAAAGTTACAGAAACCCACATAACACTGAGAACATTTCTAAGCTCAGCAGACCATGGCAGTCATTCCTGACTATAGACATAATTTACTACGAGACATAATATAGACACAAAGGCTTGAGACTTTACAGGTGCTGCATTGCCCTGAGGTTCTGAGAACTGTGAAATTAAAAGTAAGATATCTTGGGCAACTTAGCATGAAGGCAAGAAGATTGAAAATTAACATTAAGTTTTATTTAGGTTTACCCAGAAGTCAGGAATGTATTCTAGTGTTAAGGGAAGAAAAAAGGCAAAAGAAGATTTAAGGAGTCAGCATGAGTACTCAGAGTCAGGTATGATTATTCCATATATTACAAGCAACGCAAAGAAAACCAACTGCCTCTGATGTGTGCCTTTAGCTGCACGTGTAGGGGTTAATTCATAGTAGATAGATTGACACAGTTCAGTGGAACTCCTGATTGCCAAAAGCATGATTTGACCCCAGAATACAGTAACTTGTCAAACAACTATCCAAGTGGCATCAGGCAGATTGCTCAGCCCAGGGTTCCTATTGGAAAGAAATGCTGTAAACAAGATTTGAAGGAACACAAGCTCTGATGAGCTACAAAGACAGTGGCAATGGCAGATCCCAGCATACTGGACTTCACGCCTTCTTTTCGTCTACTTCTAATATGTTCAAGCCTAACCTAATTAAACACCTCAGCTTACCTCAGCAGAAATGCCTTGTAGAGAACTTGTATGCAATGTTTTCCTCCAGCACTCAGAAGGGATACAAGAAGCCCTACAACCAATAAATAAAACAAGAGAAACTAGTTCTACCTTTGCCAGTTGACAGAGAAACCCCCCTTACATCCTCCAGCCTCAATTCCAACAGTGGATAATCTTCTGACTGCTAGCATGCTGACCACTCAGCCCCAGGCATCTGAACCTTACATGAGGCCCAAGCTGCTGCTGTTCCTCAGCATTTATAATGATCCAAGCTTGCCTTTAGCCCCAAGCCTGATTAGTTAACAACAAATTATTTGCTTACTGCGGTTCTATGTCTCTTTGTGAAGTTCTGCAAGCAACCAAAAGAAAGAAGAGAAAGGGAAAAGCTCTAGCTGGCACATATACAAACACATATCTTGAAGTGGAAGATAATATCCTTAGGGAGGAAAAAATGAGACATTGATTTTCCCATGACACAGCGCAGCAGAAGAACACAGTGTTATGCACTCTAAAAAACTCAGCTTTTTTGCTCCCATTATAAAAGGCAGCAGGTTTTGTCATGGACCTTATACCAGCCCCTTTCACAGTTCAGATGCATCAGTCACAGAAAGCTCTCAGAACAGACCTTCCTTCACAAAGAATTCACAGTAAAAAAAGCAAACAGACTTGATTAGTGGTGTGTGCCTTTCCAGAATGAAAGCTCTAACTAATAGCTCAAAAGTTACCTGGGAGCTCCTGGTGAAACAAATTACTTCTTTCTTTTTATGTATCAGAGGAAGTGAACCAAATTACAGAAGTATTAAAAATCATGCTAATATTTTGTCATTTACAATTGCAAATACAGTGTGTGCAAGCATACAAAAAAAGCAAACAAATTACTCCTGACCCCTCTGAAACTTGGAAAGGTAGGTGGGAAGGAAACATAACAAAATGAATTGATCTTTAGACGTCAGCCTTTTCTCTGCAGATAAAGCTCAGCTGAAATTAAACAGAAGTAAACAAGATTAAAAAACCTAACCAAAAAAACCAAAAGAATTCAAGTTAGTAATGTAAAAGCACTAGGAAAATAGGGAATATTGAAAATGAGCTTGTACCTTTACATTGGCAAAAGATTAAATGCCATGTTTAAAAGACTTCAGTTCATTGTGTTGTATTACATTAAATTTATTTTTGACAATGGCTTGGTTTTACATTGAGTAGTGTGATATCCAATGCTATTTTAAGAACAGCATAAATTTCTTAATTATCCTTGAACACAGTTGTTATTACTGTACCATGTTACATTGACAGGCACACATAAATATGATTCCATTGAACTGGGAGCCCCCAAATACATGATTTTGATCATCTGGTCTGGCTTATAGACTTTTTCTTCACAGTAAGCCCTAAGATGACTACTTATCACTAGTTATCTAGAGGTCCAGCAACATTGTATACTGAGTGTATTACCCGTAGAAAGAATTAAGATGTCTGCTCAAATAGTTCACAGTCAATGCATAAGGTAAAGGAAGAAGAATGATTTATTATGAACATTTTCCATGTGTCTTCAGAGCTTCACATTTTTATGTAATGTTCTTATTTTCAGCCATCTATTTTTAAATGTCTCAGCAGGATGTGCTAGCAAGTGAGCCAGTGGGAAGTGCTGAAGGAGGCAAATTAAAAAGAGAAAAATGAAGCCCAGTGGACAAGGTTAAGAAGGCAAGTCTTAACATGCACAGGGAGCTGGGCTGGAACACGTACAGTGTAGGAGAGCTGTCTCATTGCCAAAAAAACACTTTTGAAATATGGCTTTAATTGTAGCCCTAATGCTTGTCATCACCAGGTCTCATTTATTTTCACTACTGCCCCAACTTGCCTGTGAAGCATCATCAAGGCCACATCTTGTGTGGCAAGCACCCAACAAAACAATGTGACTACTTCCCCTCCCTCCTGACAGCAGTAAATATACAGTAAGGTTAACAGTAGAAGCATTGTGTTCATTAGTACTATTTAAGAAGTAAATTTTCCCAACTTCAGGAACATTGCAAAATCATTAATCACATTATTGACAACAAGTGAAAAGTCAAACTCTGGGAGAGCATCATACAAGACTTCCAGAAATTGCAGCTAAAAGCCAAAGCTGACAGCTGACTTAACGTTATAAAGCTCAGTCCTGACCCAACTCTCTAATTCTCTGCTCTTTACGTATTAATGTATTGGAAAAGCCCCTCAGCTGTTTCAGTATCACATACCAAGCATGAAGCAGCACAGCAGGTCCAAGAACAGCAGCTTACAGTATGCACCTCAGTCTGATGAGGCATTTGGTGTCGGCCTACTAGTTTTTAAACTGACTTAAAATTACCTTTTGGACAGTTTGTGTGATCACTGCTATGGAACCTGGAATTTTTTTAATGCAGAAAGTGAGTAGAAAGTGGCAGATTAGGAATACGTTTCTTGAACCAGCATAATACTACTGAAATGCCTTTAAGAGAAATTGCTGATATGACATTTCTGTCACAAACTGTCTTCAAAAAATACCTTCCTCAAATCAACAAAAAGTACTAGTGATATTTTGCAAATTTTTTCTATTTATAGATTTTTGGTTGGTTGGTTTTTACCATACAGCTGTTTTTTGTCCCCAGACAATTAAAATTGTTGATTTATGTGCAGCTAGATCAGATCTTTCAACATAAACACCACCTGTAATTAACAAGTTTCCTTTTCTTACTTGTTTACTGATGAAGTGGAAGGGCGGAACTTTGGTCTACTCTAAGAGAATATAAAATGAAACCCAGTAAGGACTGGCTATCTAACACTGAGGATGCCTGAAAAACCCGAGAACACTGTGATTAGGAAGTTCACTGAAAAAAAAACAAAACATAAAATTGAGGAGACAAACCCCCTCCACACATTTCTTTTTCTTTTCCCTGTAACAGCACAAATTTTAACATAAGCTTTTATCTGGCAGCAGTAAAACATGAATTATTTCTTAGGCTGAACTATCACTACATGTTTCATAAGGATTAACTAGCATGTTATTAGAGTAGTCAGTGATTCAGAATGCCAGAAGACTGGAAGATTAAACAAAAGCTAATCTCTGGAAAAGTAGGACAAAATGCTTTGTTTCTCTTTCAGGAAAAAGAATTCACAGCATGCAGGTTCCCAAAAGCTGGCTTCTCCCTCTCTGAATTGGTAAGACAAAGTTTTTCTCAACCACAATACTTCCTCATCTACCTGTCCCAGAGGAATGCAGCTTTCAATAACTGTGTTACAAAACATGATGGATCGGGAAGGAAAAAGTGTTGTTCATGTTTTTGACAGCTTAGCACTAGTAATAATGAATTTTTCTATGAATCAGGCAACTCTTATTGCACTGCGGGTCAGAGTCAACACAAAGGTTGACATGTCAGGTTGCTGCTAAGTTTGAAGAGGTATTCAGCAAACCACTGAGAAACAAAATGCTGTGAAAAACGTTTTAAAGAAAACTACTGGCAGAATCAACATTTACTTTAACCTGAATACACAGTATAAAGCATATTTAAGTTCCCATCAGAGACTTATCAGCTGTAGGACACATTCTAAGAGAATGAGGAGATCAGTTTGACACATCGTGTTGTACCAAAAGTCCCTTACTACAAGGACTGTTGCTTTCACAGAACTGCAAGTGCTGCCAACCTTCAATTATTCTCAGAAAAGAATAACAGCTAGAGTTTTGGATGAAAAACCTGAAATCAAATTATTAGGGGTTATAAGAAGTGCCTCTTTATTCTCTTCTTGTGCTTCCATGATGGTATGTAAATTTAATCCAAAGCAGCTGCGTGTCCAAGTCTTAGCTTTTAGAACTCTGTTTATAAATGTCAAAACAATGTACTATCATCATATTGATGGAAAAGTTTATATCCAGGTTATCCTTGACTAGGCAGCAATGTCACATTCTTCAAAAGATAGATGAGTTTTCATTCAGCATGACATTTAAGTAATGTTAACTGTTCATATGAGAAAGATGGTGAATTTAGAGTCAACCTCCTAATACTGCTCTGCATTAGGTTTGTCTTTTATGTTTAACTATTACACTTTTAGCAGCATCTCTCACCAACTTCTGCATTGGAAATATCAGTGGCAATCAATCAGGACTCTGATAAACAGGTAAAAGATAACAATGACACAGTTCTTGGTAACATAAGACATAAACAGAGAGCAATGGATATGCCTCCTACACAATACTTAAGATTTTCAAAGGTGGCTTCAGTTTTTTTTACATTTTAAAGACATTTTAAAGAGAGTTTTAGTATTTAAAGGACCTTTAACAGCTATCAATAAAAATATCCAGGAATTTAGTGCTCAACTTATGCAGAAAATTATGAAAATGGTCTAAAATAGCCTTTGAAATGTCCAAATATCTTCAGTAGCTCTGGAAAATATCTAGTATCACAACAGAGAAAGGTCACGTATTAAGTAGCTCTCTTGTACACTTCTATTAAATGATCTCCTGAACTAGAAGAATCTTCCCATCCAAGTGTAAATTGCCCAGGAATAGCAGTTGCACAAATACTGCAGCTCCTGGGAGGATTTATCCAGGGGTGAGTGAAGCTTTTAAACATTTGCAATTCATACCTGAGTGATCTCTTACTTCCCTCCAGGCTCCCTCTTACAGTCATGTTCTGCTGAGAGACCCAATTAAACAGATGCAGCTGCCGAAATTAGTTCTCTTAACGGTAATGCATCAGTTCATGCCTCTCCTTGGGATCAAAGGCACCTCAGAGGGAACAGCTCCCTGACAGCTGGAAATGAAGCTCCTGCTCATCTGCTCCGGGGTCAGACCTTTCCTGCGGCAAGGTCTGGACCCAGCAGTTGGTATTGGGCACTTTTTGCCTTCAAAGATGCTCTGATGTGGATGGAATGATCTGCTAAGAAACTGGAAGCAGCAGGGCTGGGTTGTGAGGTCTGCTCAGTGCCTCCCATTCAGTTGAACTATGCTGGAAAATAAAAGAACCAACTTAAGACTTCCTGAATTAATATTTCTTGTCAGCCTTGCAGCGCACAGTTGGCTATCCTTTGAGACTGAAACTCGGCATAGATTGACAAGACAGAGATAGTGGTATCTTGCAGGAGAAAAATGTTAAGACTACTTGCCAGAAATAAGGTACATGAAACATTCACCTCAATTAGGCAAATT